CGGCTACAGACCCGCATGAGTGAGCACGCAAGGGCAGTGAGAAGGATAGACTAGCTCTCGCCGATGGAGAACAATATGCGGCCTCTGCGCAAACTTTCATCTTCAAGAAAGCCGAAGTTCTGATTAGGGGTATCGACCAGGGAAACTCCCGAAGCCTGGCACACTGCACCAACTTTCTTCAACCGCTGCACGATTATGCCGGCGGCTTACCAGGCCTTAGAATTGCGGCTTACTCAACGGAATCGCAAAATGACGCATGTGGACAGAGTTCGCGCACGAACCCCGACGGCGGGAGTCGCTAGCTCGATAAGAAGGGAGACACCGGCAACAGCCCAGCAACTACCGACGAGACGCGCGCGGGTAGACGCAAACTGGGACGAGAGCGATATTTGCGGGTTTGGGACAACAACTGCGGGAAGTGCAGATGCGATCAACGACCGTTGCCATCTCAACATTGCTCCCCGACGAGGAAAGGGTGAAATGCACTGACCATCATGGCAGCGATCGTCTCCCCCATCCGCAATGCATCCTGCAGGAACGGCAGTAGGAACAACAGCACGCCGAGCTATTCAGCGCCCGTTGCCATCTCAACATTGCTCCCCGACGAGGAAAGGGTGAAATGCACTGACCATCATGGCAGCGATCGTCTCCCCCATCCGCAATGCATCCTGCAGGAACGGCAGTAGGAATAACAGCACGCCGAGCTATTCAGAGCCCATAAATACATTGGAAAGCCGTACAAAACCTACCTCCGACGATGGAAGCCTGTGTGTTTTCGAAACGTCTAGGGAGTAAACTGGTGGTTCCCGTGATCTCCTCATCTTAATGCATGCCTGGAAACGCGCATTTTAGCTTCACTTAACGATGTATATATATATATATAGAATTACAGATTGGCGCACACCGATCAGGTTACAGAACATGCTCGTTCTGTTGTGCCTTGGGGCTCATACTAAAACACTCGCAGGCAGTCGCACAGCGACTAGTGATATATGTTGATAAGGTGATACCAACAAAGACAAGGGCGACCGGAATTGCTATTTCTGGCTTATTAGCCGTCATCAGCCAGTCATTCCCAACCCCAAGTATGGATCACTTGAGATTCGAACCCGGGATCTTTGGTCATGGAATTTGACGCTCTACCATTGAGCCACGGGCCCGTTGTCCTGTCGGTTGTGATCGGATATATCAATTATGACAGATGGGCGCTCACCGATCGGGTTACAGAACCTGCTCGTTCTGTTGTGCCTTGGGGCTCATAGTTAAATCCTCGCAGGCGTTTTATCACAAACAAATTTGGGCCCAGTTTCAAGGGTAGGAATGACGACTTGGGATACGTGGTCCGGTCTCTTTACTGCCAAGTAATGTTCATGTAGGCGTGTGAGGGCAGATTTCCCGGTCTGACCACAATATAGCGCATTACAAGTGCAACACGGAATCTTGCATACTACTTCTCTTTTGTCCTAATAGCCAACCCTATCCTTCGGGTGTAAAAGCTGACTGCGTAGCATAGTCGTTGGTCTGTGTGCAAATCAAGACGTGGCATCACCCCACTGCATCGACCCACCCTTAGCACTGACAGCGCAACATCGATTTTTTGAACATATTTAAATTTAAACAGTTTTTCACGCTTTCTTGACGTCTGAAAACGACCTGGGGAACCAGCGTTAAGAATTAACGGAGTAAGGTTTGTTTAATTTGCCGAAATACTCATTTTCACTCAAACAATATTTCATGGGGTGCTCATCCTCCAGTATATATGTATATACATACATAGGAATTGAAAGGTTGGAATTTGAGAAGTTTAATAAAGAAGTAACAGGTCCTTTGAAAAATGCAACAAAATTTATTCCATAAATTTATGGACTCTGATTTCCAAAGTAGTTTTCAGACAGGTGGCAAATGTGCTTCACAGTCAATATTTTTAAGAGAGCCAAAAAGAATGATACATTCCGTTCATTCCTGGACTTCGTTGGCGTCTCAGCAGAGTATATATGGCATCCTCAGTCTTTCTTTGAAATTATTGTAAACTGCACTTATTTCAATGTGCTGCCTAATGCATGATTAATCTGAATATATGGCGGCCAAAAATCCACGCCATTATGTAGAGATATAAGAATGTGAAAACAGGTACCCTAAGAATCATAATTCAGGAAAAAATCTTTGGGAAAGATAAACAAATTAAATTGTACATTTTAGATTTTGGTTCGCCAAGCCGTTCTTAGACGTAAAGATCAGTAGGTGAGTTAACTCATGAAATTGCAACCGAAATTTAGAAAGTTTTTTTGTTAAGAAGGTAAATTAAGTAGGGTTGTAAAACTAATCATCATGCAGTTAGCCGTGCTGCCGGCTTCATTTCGGTTGTATGCAAAAACCGTACTATGCCGAAAGTGACTTCTTAAGCAGCATGCATTTTTCTATTTGATTTTCAATGCCCTTAAATATTCAATTATCTTTTTAGGGAAAAATTAATAAATTATCCAAATTAATACGTATATGCATGTTTTCTTTGACAGCGTTTTCTTTTAAGCGCGTCGAAAATCAATGAGAAAAATGCATGCTAATTAAGTAGCAATTTTGCATAGTATAGTTTTCGCGTACAGTTGAAATGAAGTATAATGGGAAAGCAAGATCCGGGGTAATTAAAATTTTATGGAATTATGCTGTGCACTGATTAGTTTTACAAACCCAATTAATCAGTCTTTTCGAAACGAAGACGCATTTCGAAATTTCGGCCGACATGTCATGTTAGCCCACCTGCTGTAAGTTTGCAAAACAGTCAACATTCAAGCATGCCTAAAAATCGATTTTGCCCTGTCACTCCTGCTGGCCTAATGTTCCGATTGGCTAATGCCTTTTCCAATTTTTTCAGGATGTTGTACACAGCATCCAATTCTATGTGTCGGTTGATGCATGAGTTATCAGAATGGAAAATACGCCACAATATTACTACCTCAACACTATCAGTAATCACATTCACATTCGAGAGAGAGTCTGAAAAAAAAACTTTCGTTTCTTGATGTCCTCATACAGAGAAAGCCTGACGGGACATTTCACACTTCGGTTAACCGCAAGGAAACCTACGCGGAAATTCTTTTGCATTACTGGAGCAATTACCACATCTCTCGCAAACAGAGTGCGTAGACAGCCTCCTTTACCCAGCAAGAACTCACTGCTCCGACAACGAAACCCATCAAGCAGAACTGAATTATTTGTTCAAACTATTTAACCAGAATTGGTATCCTAGATATTTTGTTCACCGATGCATGAGACGACAGGAGTTAAGAGAAAGGGACAAGGAACTAGATTGTTCCGATTAGGCTCCCAAACAGAAAAAAATTGGTGAACAATTCCGTACATTAAGAACGTGTCCAAACTAGGTGAAATAAACCTGAAGAAACACCAAGTACATGTCGCGCACAAAGCGACGACTACAATTAGTAGCCAGCTTGCACACCCTAAGGGTGGGGTTGGCTATTTAGATGAGAAGTAATTTGTCTATAAGATAACACGCAACACCTATAACGCAGTTTACTGTGGTCAAACTTGACAATCAACTTCTACACGAATACGAGGACATCAGTCGGCCGTAAAAATGCGAGACCACTTGTTGAGGTTGCCATGCATACGCTGGAAACTGAACACAAAATCGTCAGGGACAAGACTCGCCTTGTAGGTGTCTGCTCATCTAGGACAGACCGCGAATTTTTAAGGGTAATCCATTCTGATAACTCATGCATCAACCGACAAGTAGAATTGGATGCTGTGTACAACAACCTGTAAAAGGCATTGGCCAATCAGAACATTACGCCGGCAGGAGTGACAGGACAAAATCGATTTTTAGGCATGTTTAAATGTTGACTGTTTTGCCCACTTAATTCACGGTTGAGGACGGCTTGGGGAACCAAAGTCGAATATTTAGAATTGAATATATTTATCTTTTCCAGCGAATTTATTTCTTCCGAAATATGTATATAACTATAATTTCGCTTATATGTATAATTAGGCATAATCGCATTAGCGACGAAGGCAAGGGTGATTGCAATGGCCATTTCTAGCTTATTAGCCGTTGTTAGCCAGTCATACCCATTTCCGTTTCGAGGAACACCTGACATTCGACCCCACGACCTGTTGTTTGTATGTAGAACACCTCTAATTACTGAGAAACTGGCTCGTTTTCCTGTCGTTTGCGATGTGGAATATACGATTATAGATTGGCGTTCACCAAACGTTTTTTACAGAACTCGCTCGTCCCCGTGTTCCTTCGGGCCTTCACTTTACATCAAACAGCGGCCGCACAGCGGCGCATAAAATAGAGTATCAATGCCAGCAATGCCCCTCTTCTATATATTTATATAACTAATTGTAGAAACTCTCTCACTAAACGCTTTGCGGTGTTAACTCGTTTTGTTGTTCCTTGGCGCTTAAGCTCGGGTTCCGCTAGTAGCCGCTGACTGGTTAATAGTGTGGACTGAGTAACATTCATTTCGATCTCCCATTAAGCTTAGAAATTAAAACTGCATTCACTTTTCTAATGAATCGTTTGGCAAGGCATGTAAACGTGCACGTTGTTTAACCCTATGGCTGCCTGACGTTCGGATTTTACGAAGAACATGTGACATACACAGCCGTTTATCTAACATTAATTTTAGGATGACGTTCCAGGCGAGGTGCGTGCTGAAATCAGATGCCCATCACTTTTCCTTGCACTGGTCAACAGTGTTCATTTGGGGACATACTGTGTGGTTCATCAGCTTAGGACAGTCAATTGTAAATCTTAAGGAACGAGAATCTTTGCAAAACCCCAAGGAACGAGGGGAAAGAATTCAGTAAAAAATAAATATATTAGAATGTTTGTATTTACACGTAAACGAACTGTGTTTGGAGCATTGCGAACAAGTTGGCGGCGTCCTTCCTCCTGAAAGGCTGTTCAGGCAAGTGTAGATTAGGTTGACAATGAAGATGCTTCTTGCTTCTGTCCTATGTTACTCTCTGTAAGCCTATCCAGGCACTTCCAGCCAGTCCCCGCTTTCCTGGTTAACCAAAACGGACTGTTTTTTGCGAGTTGCAGGACACCGTAGCTCCATTTTGTTAGCAGTCGGCTGAAACTTTCCACCTCGACCCAGATGTGAGATAGGCTGGTTAATGGCAGCAGCCGAGGTCAACTCTGTCCGCAGCTTCTTCTGCCGACAGGCTAGTGTGTCCAGGAGTTGAGACCGGAAGCTCTTGCCCGTTATGAGATAGATGATGAAGTTGCAGGCGTAATGCGAGGAGCAGAGGAAGTCTACAATTTCCTTGGCTCGCAAAAAGCCAAAATACTCTCCCCACTGCGGATTCACTAACACCTCCTCGTCAGTGAGGTATTCAGAAAAACTGGTAAAACGCATCTGTACAACAAATACTATGCCCACCGGCAGGGTGCAGAGAATGAGATAGAAAGAGAGGATCACAAGCATGAGAGTTGCCGCGTGAAAGTTAGACTGCTCCTTGGCACTTGCACTGTGTCCACTGTGCTTCGAGCCCAAAATCAGTTGTTGCTCCTGCGCGGGAATCGAATTCTGTGAGGAGCGTTGTCTAAAGAGGCTAGAAGACTGGCTCTTCACTACGATCTTCGAACGCACAAGCTTGCCAATCTCTCGCAGTACTAGGATGTTGAAGACCAGTGTTGCCAGGGGCACTAGAAGAGAGAACACACACTCTACGGTGGACAGGTAGATGTAGAAACTGGAGTCGTCCTGCCACCGGGCGGCCAGAACACATTCACCCTCCACGATTTCCCAGGCGGCCGCATAAAAGACGTTGAAGCTGATTACGATTAGCGCCAGTGCTGAGACACCAATCAGCGCCCGACGAGAGGAACAGAGCTTGTGACGTTTAAAGGGATAGCAGATAGCAATCCAGCGTTCCAACGTGAAGCCAAATGTCAGCGCAATGGAATAGTACTGGAGGAACAGAAAGACGCCCTGAAAGAGCTGGCACAGTCCGTTCACTGTAATGGGGGATTCAAAGAAGAGGAAGCGACGCAGGTAGTCACTGAAGAGAAGGAGGATAAGGAAGAAGTCCGATAGCGCCAGGGCGGCAAGGTAGATGGCGGAGCTGTTCTTTCCACGCTGTTTGTGGGACACCCAGATGAGGAAGGAAATGGCGTTACCTATGAGACCGACGAAGAACCACACCGGGGAGGCGTAGAGCTTAAGGTAGTATGCATCCGGTACAAAACGTTTCAGCAAGTGGCCACCGGGATACCTCTGGTAGATGGATGTTGAATTATTCAGGGATAAGTGGGTATCCATTATCGGAACTCAAGGTTTCCTCGCAAGACAGTTTCCATCTACGTGTTGATGTGAACAAGATCTGCAAAGTAGATAATTGGGAGCCTTAAACGACTGGAAACACTATTCAGCACCTGCCTATGACTTAATCTGTCACATTAGTTATCTAACCAGGTAACAGGATTTACAGTTAATATAATCTGGCGGAAGACATTAGAATGCAAGTACAGTTATTAGGAAAAGGAGACACGAACGCTGGAATAAGAGCCTTATTAGCCTGACGTTTCGGGTTCCTGCTCGAACCCCTCATCAGAAACAACCACATTTATAAGAGGTTTCGCCAGAGAAACTCAGTCACGAACCGCAGTACATACTTACGATGGAACCCGCATTTGTGGTCACATCGTAGGAGACGGGAATAGTCAGCCCCGTAACACAGATGGCTTTGCTTTAAAATACAGGGGAATTGTGGTTACGATTAGGACATGGAAACAGGCAGCCTCACTGGGACTTAGCGCAAGGCCACCTGAATTACGAAGGGGGGAGTTCTTACTGACGTCCCTCGCCGGGAGGAGGGACCGCATAAAATATCCTCATCCTCTTCGCTTTTATAATTAGAAAGTTCGTCAGGGAAATTCAACCACGAACTCGCTTCTGTACGAGCGAAGGCAGTGTCACGCGAGAGGAACAAGTCTCTGAGCACTGAGGAACTGGTCAAAATGGGTGATTTCGCATCCGGTTTGCGTCCCCAGTCCGTCACATTTTTCAATATGAAACATTGAGACTGAAATTTCATACCCACAGCCTTAAACAAATACTAGAAATACCTGTTCATTCCAATAAAATGACCCGGGATTGTTTGATTTGACAGGAGAATTTTTAAATCAGTTCAAATTTTTCTGAGCTTTTCTACTGAATTTGCAGCACCTAAATTTGACAAACGCAATACCCACATTTGCAAATATAATTTCAAAAGGCTAAAAGTGAGCATTTACCACGCTGGGCATATTGAGATATTTTAATTCAAAATTCTTATTGGCTTGAAGTAAGTTTACACGGATCGAAATTCGACTCGACTTTTTGCAACAAACTTTTGGTATCTTGCTTCTAACGAGAATAAAAATTCAATTTGAAATCCTTGGAAACTGAATGACAGGCCCACTGAGACTATTTTTAGAATTAAAGCTGATATGGACAACGTAAAAACAGATCGTGACGTTAAAAATGTTATGATGTGATAAGAACGTAAAGTACACTCTAGTAATAAAAATTGGATATTAAAAGTGGATCAATAACGACACGTACTGCAACGGACGTGGAAAACTTAAAATGACAGTTAGATGACGGAAGTGAGAACAAGTTAAAATTTGGGCAGGTGATGAAAATGCATCCTAGAAATTGTTCAATTCTATTGGCAAAACTTGGTTTGACACACAGCACGAGCATTGTAACCACCATGTGGAGGTAACATGCCTTGCCGCCAACAAAACCTGCGGCCTTCATTATTGGTTCGAGCAATTTGCGTGACAATTGGTGCATGGAGAATGCGGTTAACCGCCTGGAATGCCGGACTGACACGCTACTGTCCTGTCACGATTACTCACTTGTTGGTGAGCCGAAAATAAACGGCTTCGAGGTAATTCCCTTAGGATTCACTGTTTCTTTACAAGCCCTATTTCCCGTACCCGATTTCATGAGGACTAAAGAAGACCTTTGAAAGAAGGGTCCATAACACTCCTATGGCTTGCCGCGAGGCCGGGAAAACAAGTCTCGAGGCTAAAAAGATAGAATCTAGTAAAAGTAACGAAAGAGTAGAGAAGTAAATGGCCTCTCCTGTGTTCGTGCGACCTATATATTTCGCAACTTGCTCGGCAAATGAGGCTTACTTCGGTGAACAAGAAATGAAAGTAAATTAAACATGGCTGATATAACAATACTAGGACAATTTAACGAGAACGTTGGCCGTCGCAGTCAAGAAAAGATATCTATTTGATGATAGATCGGGCATGGAAGACCCCTCTTAAGCGCTACCACTTGAAACGCCGGTATCAACTTCCAGAAGACGAGCCATATTGACTGAATGTGGTTATTTTAGAGAGTATCGGGTTAGTAGGAGGGCTCTTTCAGTGTATTGTCATAGAATTTGAACCGGATATTTTAAAGTACTGTATATTTATGATGTTAATTAATACCCTATTATTTATTTTCTTTTCAAGGCTATAAGGCTGTAAAGGTGAAAACTTTCAATGTTGTCTAGAGAACATTTGGGTTTCAGAAATACTGGTGCAGCAGTGAAATATGTTCAGCAGAATTTTGATTTAATACCGCTTTTAACCCTGTCCACCTCAAGTCACTATTTTAAGGGGATTGCCGTCCGATAGATTCAGCTTGACGTCAAATGAAGGGATTTAAAATGACCCGGTATCTCACTTCTTATCTGATTTTCATTAAACGTACTAAAGAAGGATCAGGTAACTCTTTGGGCATGAATTGCTGTTGTAGAGGACACTTAGAAATATTTTTATGAGTGAATACGCCTAGTAGGACCATTTTGCACTTTTCACTATACATAATAAAATGGGAGGGAATTTCAATCCAATACGAGCATTTGCAGTCATGAGAGTTAAGTGTCTTTTTAAATGGCCCATACAGGTGGTAGTCTCCCACTTGGAAGTAAAAAATTCTGCCTGTCCGAAGTGCACTTAAGGTAGCGCAATCGCGAATAGAGTTGTGCATCCACTGTCCACTCCATTGCAAACGCCTTCTAATGTGACGAAAATTTTGGCAAGTATCAGCTGTTCGAAGAAGGCATTTTAAGCTCTACTCGTCTGCTAAATACCTGGCTTAAAACGACGGGTAGCGCAGACAAGACGCACATGCAGCCCAGCAGTTACTTTGCCCGCCCCCGGTTTCCTAGCACGTGCGCTACCACTTCCGTCTGTAGGCGGGTTCCTCTTCAGAACGTTGCCTCCGTCAGGAACACACTGCTATCGCCCACGTGTAAAGATGACTGTGAACTAAGAGGGACTGACCGCTGGCTGCTAAGTTCCGCAATTTGCTTGTGATAGTAGCCTACTAGTAGCGCCAAGCCAATCGCGCTGTTGTCTTCCAATTCATTATGTCAATGCACTTATAACCGGTACACAATCACCCCTGCGCTTAGAAAGATCAGGCTTATGGGCGGATGCGGGCAATTAATTAATTAACGAGCACTCGTGAAATTCAGTCGTTTGTCTCCTTCAGGGACATGTCCAGCGCGTGTCACTTTGATTATCACTTGTTGAAAAAATCCCCGACGTTTCTTGTCCAGAAGTGGAAAATTAAGCGATTTACACAAACGCCGAGAACTTTTATCTCTAAAGTTGTTAGTACTACCGAACATGACGCCCTTAGGGAGCTTTGGTATTTTGAGCAAGCGCTGCCTTACATTTTGGAGGGATATTTCTTCTAGACTTTGGTGAAATACCCTACGCCAACTAAAAATTTAAAGTTAAAATTTGTCTATGCGCATTTCCTGATTATCATTTTAATTAGTCTACGGACAGTTTCTTCTCGCAGTCAGCAATGTTTGTTCGCAGGATTTGATACATCCAAGTCCAGAGGGTAACTTATCTGATAAAACAGCCATCTTATGGCGAAGAGTGCAAGCACTATGCCGTGTGAAAGTCCCAAATGTTGGATGTGAGCACGACGTTCTCTGTAACTTGGTAATTTTCCTTCAGCAGCAATAGCTACAAAAAATTTTTTAAAAACAATATGTAGAACATCAGCCCCATCTAAATGTCCAATGTAGGACTAACTCAAGAGATGCGCAGATAGGAAAATGGCGCAATAGCTCGAGATCTGATACCTCTTTAGTAAACTTAAATGTTAGGGAAATGTAACTGTAAACCTTTTTAAATAAGCCTAAAATGTGTCTCAATGCTTTGTCTTATAATTTTGACATAGATCAATACCACATGAAAGTATTAATACACACAGAAAAATGGAGGATATTTTGCCGGTGAAAAAAATTAGGATCGTTTTTGAAGCTCTGAATACATTTCTTGCGTAAAAATCCAGAAACGTACTAAACACGTCAAGCAAATTAAATATAAGCTAGATCTGGATTATTCGTAAAAGGGAAGTATTAAACCCTAAACAGGATTGTTTCATTAAAAGGCTAAAATCCTTTCCTCTCGTTATAAAATGTCATGCCAGTCGGAACTGCACGAACTATAGTGCAGGGGCAAATTTGATCAAGCTGAGATTTTAGTTTTCATTAAACTATTTTGCCCTAAATCAATTAAGTATCATAATACAAATACAGTAAATGTGCTAACTCATGAAATGTCAACGAAAATTTCGAAATTAGTTCTCGTTTCGAAAAAATAAATTAAGTAGTTTTGTAAAACTAATAAAGATGCAGCTGAAATCTATCATGATCCAGTTATCGCAGCGTGTCGGCTTTCGAAAGAACTTATTTTCGGCTGCATGCAAGATCTATACTCTGTAAAAAATGACTACTTGAGTAGTATGCAATTTTCTAATTGATTTTCGATGCCCTTGAAAATTCAATTATATTTCGTGGAAAACATGCATAAAAATATTCATTCTTTTATTTATTCGGTAGAAATTGACGTCTTCTTCCAAGTTCTTACTCAAAAAAGAGTATAATTCGGCTTTAAAAAAGTTTCTAATTGTGAGATTTTGTAATACCGTTAAATGGCCGTTCATGAAACGTCATGTATCTGCATTTATCAATGTGGCTTGTAACGTTAACAATATTGCTCTAATCCACTGCTTAATTTTATGAACCTCATATAATCTCCTCTTAACACCGTAGAAAAATGCATGGTTTTCCGTACACGGAAAATATACAGCTTGTAGTTTTGAAATTCTGAGTGCAAGTGTAACAGCTGGTCGGGTTCAAAATTATTCGGGAATTAGAAAAGTTTTTTAAAACCGAAATATCATCTTCTTTTGAGTATGAAATTCGAAAAAGAAGTGATGTTTTACCGAATAAGTGAAAAAATGAATAT